GCATGGGTGACAGAGCACAGAAGGGAAACCCAGGGAGGGGGAACAGGTTACAGGCAGAGCAAAACACCATAGCAGGGAGCAGGCACCCAATTCCACATACAGCAGAGTAACACAGTACAGTGAGAAAAGAGCATGAAGTAACCCAGTATAATACATCAATGAGCAGTATCTAGTAATATATCAGATAAATAGCCTAAAAATACAGCAATAGATGGTATAAAGTGATTCAGCAGATAAATAGCATGAAGTGGTATTGAAATAACACAGAATAAACTGCCTAGATAAACCCAGCAATAGACTGCCTAAATAAACCCAGCAATTAAGCTGCCTAAATAAACCCACTAAATAAACAAGCAGCATGTAGGAGAAAAAACAACCCAGAGCAGAGACAACTCTGAGTTGGTGAGTGCTCACCTGGAGGCAGCAGCAAAGAAAGAGGAAATGGAAGGGCCTGCCTAAGGGGTTTTATACTACTGTTGTTTTGTTCTGATCGGTTGTTTTGAAAAGTTCTGTTAACTGTTTCTTTGCTGCTGGAGGTTTCAGTAAAGAAGGTAAAGCAAATATGAAGCCTCCTGTCCTGCCATAAAATCAAAATACACTGTATATAAAATATCTCTCCTTTTGAATAACCGATTTTGTATTTCATGGTGTTAAAATATCACATGAGGCAACATTTACATTTCAGTGTAATGTTTGTAATGTAATGAGAATCAGCTAGTTCCTGAATAGTTTTGCAAGGTGCAAGAAACCACTGCTCTGACTATTCATTCTATTTTGAACAACTTGATGGCCCTACCTGAACTGGTTGCCATATGTATCATACAGGAAATGACTGCCATATTTGATAGCCACTGTAATAATGACAAGTAATGCTTCTGGTGCGGTCTAAAGCAGAAAGGAACTGTGTGCGCCACAATAACTAATATTATTTCATTTGCTCTGTATAAGTCACATTTGTATCCTTATTACAAATGTTGAGGCATGTTTTTCTGTTCTCTATAAAGGGTTAGGAGGCTAATGGAATGCAATGTGACTTCTGTTTATATATATATATATATATAATGATAACCTATTAAGATAATGCTAGTCCTTCATTTGTACCCTCCACCCTGGGAAAGGGAGGATATGCTATAAGTTACTAATTTACCAGTAATGATAATTTTAGCTCTTCTTGGAACGCCTTTAGTTCAGCTAAGAACAACCCCTTTTTTTATCTGAGACCGTAGAAGTGCACTCATATTGTAACAACTTTTGTCATATATTCTGAATTACTACTTTTTCTATGAATTTCACTGCACAATAGAAAGAAGGAACACTCTAGCCAGGAGACAGTTAATGATTTTAAAAAAAATGAACAACATATATATATACTTCCTTGTTTACTGCAAATGATTTGTTTTCAATAAAATTTTTATCCATTTTCCATTAAAGAAACACGCCAAGCACCATAAACACTGAAATGCACTATAGTGGTTATGGTGCCAGGAGTTCCCTGGCTCTCCCAATGTAAGTAGTCAAACTTTTGACTTCTTATCTGCCCTTCCTGTCTGAGAACCAGGAGCTCCTGCTTGTAGTTTCTGTTAGCAGAGCAGGGCTAGCTTACTAGCAGAGAGTGTAAGCTTAGCTCAGGCATATAGGTTCTGGCACTCTGAGAGGCTCCAGAAAAGAAGTCAACCTAAATGGTTTGACTACTTACATTAATGTGTTGCCAGGGCACCATGGCACCTAACAACTACAGTGTGCTTTAATTGTGATGAAATTTAGAGTGCTCCTTTAATCCAAGGCTGCGCCACATTAGAGGAGCTGCTTGGCGTGGAGCGGGTAAGTATTGCCACAGAGTGAACAGTGATTCACTTCTGGCAGATAACTGTATACCCAATATTCTTGAAGGGTAGATGTGAGAGAACCAACAAAAGTTACTTAAAACGTGCAAGCCCAAAGCTTTACCCTATGACTGTGTCTTTCACACACACATACAGCACCCTTCACACACTGCACTCCCCCCCCCCCACACACACACACACAGCACCCCTATGCACAAACACAGCAGTCTGCGTGTATTCAGTAGTCTGGGTGTATTCAGCAGTTTATATGTATTAAAGGGACACTATAGTCACCCAGACCACTTCAGTTCAATGAAGTGGTCTGGGTGCCAGGTCCCTCAGGTTTTAACCATTCAGATGCAAACATACATTTGGGGTTTGTAGCTGAGAGGTAGTATTATCCACAATATCTCCACTGGTAACAGGAACAGTTTACAATAATCCAGGCAAAATAAGTACAGCATACAATAATCCCGGGTAGCGTTAAATAAATCCTTTCTTCCCAAGAACTAGAAGACACATAGGCTGGGAGTCAACTGAGCTTTTAATCACAGGTCACAGTATTTATGTGGTTCCCCATGCAAGGGGTTTCCTTACTGACTTTACAGGGGTTGTACAGTAGGGGACTACATGGGGAACTTAACAACCCGGACATTTCTCCCATCATGCACTGCTGCACGAGAGGCATACTCCCACTAGAATATCCAGTTAAATGGATTATCCCTCCGTGCAGCAGAACTGGCATTTCACACAAATATACACATTATTCATCCTATATTACCGAATGACCGTTTGGTAGATAGCTGGGGTCTGAGCACACATTTCGTGAAAGTACTGCTCAGATCCCAGCCTAAATAACCGAACGCTGCACGAAACACGTTATTTTACATTCACCTTAAAAGTACCGAATGCATGTAGGGGAACAAACTACCGAAGGACCGGTACTCCCGAACGGCCTGGAAGTCCAGCGGTATTCATGCCGTCGAGTAGCCGATTTTAGTTCCAGACGCTCGACGACCAAATACCGCTGCGCTAACAAAGGATCCAAGATGGCCGACCGCCACGTAGTCGGTAGCCAAACGGCGGCCACCCTGAATCTCAATAATTACCGAAGGATACATTGTTCCAATACTTAATGGGAGCCACACGACCTCCTGTGTGTGGTCTCCCATTCGGTAGTTTGTTCGTTTCACGAACAGTGTTGAAATTCACTGTTTGTGAAACTACTGTATGAATGCTGGTGGCTTTCCTGCCGCCAGCATACGAATGCTCTCATTCGCACAATATACAGGTACAGGTATTCACTTGGTTCTAACAGTCTTAAAGGGATAGCATCCCATTACATAAAAATACATTCTTAAGTGGCTAGTTTTGCCACAGGGTTAATCCAGCCTCTAGTGCCTGTCTTCCGGACAGTAACTAGAGGTGCATTTGCAACGCTGGAGGCATATTTCGCCTCCATCACGCAGAGCGTCCATAAGAAAGCATTGAGAAATGCTTTCCTATGGACACTTTGAATGTGCGCGCATGCGCATTCGGCTCCGCTGACGTCGGCGGGGGAGGAGAGGTCACCAGGGCCGAGGGAGCCCGGCGCTGGATTAAGGTAAACTGCTGAAGGGGTTCCCTGAGGGTGGGAGCACCGTCAGGGCACTATAGTGTACTCAGCAGTCTGTGTGTGTATTCAGCAGTCTGTGTGTATTCAGCAGTGTTTACTTAATAATAGTGTGTATGTATGTATGGTTGTATGTATTAGGCAATATATGTGAAGTACCCCTTCCTGTCTCGTCAGAGAAATGTGCTTTTTAGCTGATACCAGCAAGGTGATTTGTATGTGTTATAGCCCTATTCAGGGTTAAGTATGTAGGGGTTTATAAAATACCCCTTGGTGTCTCATTAGAGATGTTTACACTTTGTCTGATACCAGCAAAGTTTATTGTATGTGTAGAAGCCCTATAAAGGGTTAAATGTGAAAGGGTTTATAAAATACCCCTTCCTGTTTCACTGGAGATTCTTGGCTGATATCAGCAAATCTAATGGCTAGTGTAGGACTCCCCTATTGAGGCTTGCCTTGACGTGGCAGGTGAGCTTATATATTCAAATGGCCATTGGAATAAAACTAAAGAGCCTCCATTTTGTTTAAATGTACATGGGGATTTAGGCCAGAGGGCAGGTAACGTTCTCTTTGTTTTTACTATGTATTTTAAGCTGATGGATAGTAAGCTGCTGCTGCTGCTGAAAGCGCAGTGCTTTATCTTTGTGTTTGTATATGAATTTTGTATCACACAGCTATGTTACATTGCTGCCAGCCTCCCCATGTTTGTCTTATTTAGCCTTTAGGCCAGAGTGCAGGTAACGTTCTCTTTGTTTTTAATATATGTGTATAGATGTATGTATTGTGCAATATGTGTGTACAGATGGAAGTATTAGGCAGTATGGGTGTATGTATTAGGCAGTGTGCGTTTATGGGTCTATGTATTAGGCAATATATGTATGTATTGGCTGATTTGTGTGTATAGATGTATGTATCAGGCAAGATGTGTGTATAGATGTGTGTGTGTGTGTGTGTGTGTGTGTATGGGTGTGTATGTATTAGGCAATATGTGTGCAGGAGCAGAACAGGTAGAGAGGAGGCAGCGCAGAGCAAGCAGAGAGGAGCAGAGCAAGTCGAGAGGAGCGGAGCAAGCAGAGAGGGTGCGGAGCAAGTAAAGGGGAGCAGAGCAAGCAAGAGCAGAACATGCAAATAGAAGCACAGCATGCAGAGAGGAAGCAGAGCAAAGCAAGTAGACAGGAGCAGAGCAAGCAGAGAGGTGTCGAGTAAGCAAAGAGGAGCAAGAGCAAGAGCAAGCAGCGAGGAGCAGAACAAGGAGGCAGAGAGAAGCAGGTATTGTGACCAGTGGCCTGTGCCACATCTAGGTTCTGAAAAAAGTGAATTAATTGCAGTGATTACAGGGAGTGGTGTGAGTGAGACAAAGGTTAATTTAAATTCCATTTAAATTGCATGTTGTAAATTATTTTAAAAATAAATATTATTATTTTTAAACTATTGTTTTGTAACCATTCTGGCATCATGAGATATTGTTACCATGGCATATCTAAAGCAGATAGACTTTAGCATATTTAACAAGGTGCTGGAAATTTGAATTTTGTTAACTTTTAAATGTTCTCCACGTTTGTGTGTGTGTGTGTGTGTGTGTGTGTGTGTGTATATATATATACATATATATATACACACACACACACACACACACACATGTTTTGTAATTGCCCCCCTACTTTTGTCCCTGGCCCCCTATGTGCCCCCCTAAATATGAATGCTGGAGACGCCACTGACAAAAAGTTAGACCCTGGAAATGGGGCCTAACATCTTTCCGCCTTGTTTACTTTTTAAACCTCCCTTGTGAAGAGCCAGACTATCTATTCAACTTTTGTCGATACGACAAGCCTGTATTCTGCTGTGCATTTTGGAGCTCAAGTCTGGGGAGTTTTTGTCCCTTAGATACTTATGCAGATAGTATGGAAAAGTAGTAAGAAGAAGGGGTTAGGGTGGGGAAAGAGGTATAAGGGGAGGGAGGGAAAGAGAGGGTAAGGGGAGGGAGGGTGGATAATTCAAGGTTATTGAGAAGTGAGTTCGGCTTTCCGGGTTTACATGGGCATGTGGCTTATTTGATTTCTACGGCCATCTGTATATTTGTTTGCTTGGTGGGTAAAGTAGGTCCTAGGTCTGACCATCATACTGTCTGGTAAAGGTATAATGGTAAAGTACAGTGATGAGCGATACTTCATTTGACGTAGCCAATTCATAAAGGGTAGCGGTATAAGTGGGAAGAGGATAAGGGAGAAAAGAAAACGGTTGGGGGAGGCAGTGCAGGTCATGACAGTTACGTCACCTGACTTTTGCGGAGAGGTCGTCTTTAGTCAAGTATGCGGCTGGTCTGTCCCTAGGGAGCAGGAGTGTTTGTATGTGTGGTCACCGCGTCTCATTGCGTCACATAAGTACACCAGGGTGTCCAGGTCTGAATACATTTCTCAGAGGTGTCATTAAGGGCTGTGGTCATAGATTCCATAGAGTAGATTTCCTCGACCCAAGTTGGCCGTTGCTGAAAGGTTGGCGCACCCGACTGCCTCCACATCGTGGTTTTAGTAGCATCTAATAAGTGCTTGGTTAGAGATTTCTTATATGATGCCAGTGGAGTCTTTGTATGGTGTAGGAGCATGGGCATGGGCTGAAATGGGAGATCTGGATCCATGATACTTTGAATTTAAGAATGTACCATCTTTCAGAAGGGAACAATAATCGGGCACGACCACCAAATGTGCAGCCAAGTCCCTACATCTGCGCCACATCTCCAGCAATCACTCTGTATTTTGTTATTCATTCGGTGCAGAACATCAGGAGTTCTATACCTGTTAGCCAAAATTTTGTAGCAGGTCTCTTTTTTTAAAGCTTTTATGAGTCAAAATCTAAATATTGTGGGGGGCGTGGCCGACTACCGAGCAAGATGGACGTCTGAAACTCTGCTCCGGCACGAGGGCTCCACTACATCTAATTTTACTTTAGCTGAAATCCTAATACAGCCACCAAATCACAATGGCAACAACTAAAAATAAGAAATCTACCTTAAAAACCGTCAAAATGAACTTTTTTGGGCACAAGCCTTCCCTCACGGCGGACCCACTGCAAGCAGCCGAACACACGAGGGCTCAGGCGACGCTGCTCCTAACTCCTCTCTTGCGCTGCCAGTAGACCCCCAACCCACAGAATGCCTAACACAGAGTCATTTCGAGCAAGCCATGGAGACTATGGCCGAAAAGCTAATACTTACCTGGCAAAAGACTGCCGACCAAATCAAGAGGGAGGTAAGAGACCTCTCGGCCAGGACCTCTGCTGTGGAACAACGCCACCAAGAGCTGGAGGCCAACCAAACAACCGCCTTGGAGCAACTCCAAGCACTACAACGGAAAATGGAGACAATGGAAGAGCGCATGGCGGACCACGAGGACAGGGCAGGCAGGAACAATCTGCGGCTCCACGGTGTCCCTGAAACAGTTCTCCCCGAAGATCTGCAGGCCTATGCAAGAGGCCTTATGAGGGCGTATGCCCCTGACATACCGGCGGACCTGCTTTTGGTGGACAGAATCCATAGGGTAGCGAAGCCCAAGAACCTGCCGGACTCTGTGCCACAGGATGTACTGCTTAGGGCCCACTATTTTCATATTAAGGAACTGGTGAGCAAACAATGGGTCGCAAGAGTATTCTGAGAACGGACAGCAGCTAAAATAGCCTGCCCTTCGGTGGGTCCCGCTCAGAACTCATGCTGGTTTTAGCTCAACTTGTGCCATTACAGAGAGAACATATCTGAAGCATATCAGACTGGTCCCACCCATATGGGTGGGACCAGTCTGATATGCTTCAGATATGTTCTCTCTGTAATGGCACAAGATGAGCAAAAATTAGCTTGAGAACTTAGTGGGGACCGACCGAAGGGCAAGCTATTTCAGCTGCTGCCCGCTCTCAGTATTCTCTTGCGACCCGTTTTTGACTCTCTACAAGTTTAAAGGGATAATCCAGACGTGGACCCCTTGCTCACGGTGCCTAGGGAGATATCAGCTATGCTCACTGATGATGCCTAACAAGGCTGAAACGATCATCTGGGGTTGCTGTATCTCTCGTGCAGAGAGAACTTGCTGGCATTTCGGATCTGGACTGCCCGTATGGGTGGGACCAGTCTGATATGCTTCAGATATGTTCTCTCTGTAATGGCACAAGATGAGCAAAAATCAGCTTGAGAACTGAGCGGGGACCGACCGAAGGGCAGGCTATTTCAGCTGCTGCCCGTCTCAGTATTCTCTTGCGACCCATTTTTGACTCTCTACAAGTTTAAAGGGATAATCCAGACGTGGACCCCTTGCTCACGGTGCCTAGGGAGATATCAGCTATGCCTCACTGATGATGCCTAACAAGGCTGAAACGATCGTCTGGGGTTGCTTTATCTCTCGTGCAGAGAGAACTTGCTGGCATTTCGGATCTGGACTGCCCGTATGGGTGGGACCAGTCTGATATGCTTCAGATATGTTCTCTCTGTAATGGCACAAGATGAGCAAAAATCAGCTTGAGAACTGAGCGGGCACCGACCAAAGGGCAGGCTATTTCAGCTGCTGCCCGTTCTCAGTATTCTCTTGCGACCCATTTTTGACTCTCTTAAGGAACTGGTCCTCCGTGCCCATAGAAGCAAGACAGATCCCAATGAAGACTTCTCCACTGTACGTATAATGCTGGACATTTCATCAGCCACTCTCCGCCGCAGAAGGGACTTTAACCGAACCACCACGGCACTACGCACCCATGGTATACGATACCGGTGGGGGTTCCCCACAAAATTGATTATTGCCAGAAACGGGAAGACGACCTTTATTCTCTCTCCAGAAGAAGGGTTGCAACTCATTGAACAGTGGAACCTCCTGGAAGACCCGTCTGAGAACCCACGGCCCAACAAACGCCGCCCGGGCCACCCAACACACATGGACTAACACGTTACCTAGAAGTGGCGAGCACACTCGCGCAAGTATCACGAACTGAATACTTATAATTTTTTCCTTAACTTTACTACCTAAAGCGCCATATAATTGCATATATTGTTTGCCTCTTCGCCACCCCTGAGAAATGTTACCCCTGCATATAGGCACACATACCATAACCTGGTATATTATCTTAGCAGCGACAGGCACGTTTATGGCTAGCATCATGAACTGTCCACTTATGTTCAGCTAACATTAACGCCCAAGACGCTATTGGTGGGTAAATATTGATCTCCACACTGGGAATGCCCCCTGCACGCAGACACGCATGCAATGACCTGCTGCATAACGTGACCCTAAACATGTGGCAGTGCTCCCTGGGGAAACTTTATGTACTCACACGGGGGACCGACATTTAAGGCATTAGAAGGTTCACTGCGTCCCAACACCAATTCCGAACTCACCTTTCATGCCGGCACTACCGACCCATGGGTGGTATTGCATGCAGAGAAGCAGGAGCACCCACTACAGCCAGTGTACGACCCGAGGGTCCTACACTGTCTACATGTCCATACTGGCGTCGACCAGCCACCCACGACCCTATCACCACTAGTCTGGACGGCTGGCGCACATTATGGGGCATGAGCCATTACATTCACATATGAAACGCCGGCTCGTGGCGCTCAACGTGCTCCCATATACCATTGGCCCAAGAGCTGCTTGGTGAAACGCTCCACCGACATACCCGGCCCTCACTAGCAATGCCGCACGCCACATATCTATACCACACCACAATGCCACCTCCGGTAGAATCCTAATGCCTACTTGTTAATGTGGGGGAAAACATACGAAGCCCAAGAGATCCTGAGTCTCTACCTAATGGCTCCCCTCAGCGGGTACCGCCCACACCTATTGTCCCTCTCGCCCAGCCACAAGGACATAAACTACACCAACTGGGTAAAACATGGAGGGCACAAATGTGCCATATGTCCACGCCGGTGACGCTCATATAGCGGTGCACAGACCACCCTGGGTAAAGCATGTTAGCCTTTCACGTGGTGGCAAAGAGGGAACAATCAAACCTGCTGTGCCAAGTAAAGACATGATACTTGCTTGCCCTTCTGTTATCAATGTTACTTGTTCTATATTATTGTTGCTATGTTTTTCTGTTTAACGACCTCACCCAAGAGATTTCAGCTCTACCTCATTATCTAAAATGGAGCCCACTCAGCCACGTATCTGGTAGCTCCTGCTCCTCAACCCCACGGTACGACTAGCGTACCAGACCGCCAGGTCTTTGTAAAGCTCACCCTCTTTACCACGAGATCCCTCCCACCTCCCCACATCACCCTGTCCTTCACCCACCGACATAGCCCATACTTACACACACCAGCCTAAGCATTGCAGTACTCCGATATCCCCTCTGGCACTCGTAACACACATCAACAACCATGATCATCTACTCACACAATACCAGAGGCCTCAACACTCCACACAAACGACGTATGCTATCAGATGATATAAAACGAACCAAGGCAGACATAGTTTGCGTACAAGAAATACACTTTGTTACCGCCAGGGTCCCCACGTTCGCATACAGAGATTATCCTACACAATTCCACGCTACCTACTCCTCCAAGTCTAGGGGAGTCTCTATCCTACTCCACAACTCTCTGATGGTGGAAACCCTTCGGGTCAAAACAGACAGCCAAGGACGATATATAATTCTACAATG